ACGTAATTCATGTTGCTTATAATAAGGTCTTAACTATAAAACCTCATTTTTTAAATATATGAAAAAAGTATCTTTTCCAAGAGCAAGACGCGCCAAGGAATTTTCTGTAGAAAGATACATATATACGCCATTTCGATGCTTTCAGTGAGAAAATGCCCTTTCGTCATCAGCTTACTTCGACTGAAGCAAAAGCTTGTTGTCTAGCCGGTATAATAATTTGTGACGCTGGCTGCTGTACCAATGAGCCCGAGCTTGAATCCCGGAGATGGCATACAAGTTTATCAGAAGCATACAGTACTTGTGCGGCAAGGGAGCACTCAGAATACAAGGCGATCGAAAGTCTTATCAAAAGGGGAAGACGAGTGGAATCATCGTTGTGCTGGCCTAGCTTCTACCTCTACCTGTACCTGCAGTAAATACGTCAGGAATATAAGTATCTCTTAGATTAGTTGCTTCAATAAGCGAAGAATGAAACAAAATAGCACACTTTTAAAATTTGTGTGGTTTTTGTTAATTAATTTCTTGTAAATTTTGTTTACTAGCAGTCCAAGAAAAACATCTTTTATTCCGTTATCACCCTTGATTTTCTACCTCTTCCTTCTCACTATGTGTTTTCCGATGGACAGTGCGTGATTTCTCTCTTTCCAACTTGTGAACCATATGTAATTTGACACAAAAATCTCTCCTAGTATTTTAAAGAATTACACAGCTTCTGCCAAAAAGAACTCTAAACATAATAATAGTTTCATAGCTTGAAGCCATTCTAGAAGAATAGTTTCAACGTCTCTCGGTTTTCTGCAATTCCTTGAGACATTTTCATTTTTTACTAGTTACTCAGTTATAATCCTTTATTTAAGTGAATTTCACAGTTTTTGAGGAATTTCAAATTGCAATGCAATTTTTCTCTGGCTGCACTTGTCAAGAACATCAAAATCGAACAATTTACCCGTTCTTTCAGGCATAAGTCTTTTCACTTTGACATGCTCGACATGTCACAAGTTAAACGCATAACAGATTTTTAAAAATGCATTTTCTAGTAGTTTATTTAATTCTAAAACTTACGTTTCTAACCAGCAGAAAGATTTCTCTATGATTGTCAATTCCATTTTTCATTTCATGTTTACAGGCTTGACCAGTGCTTTCTTAGCTTCTTCTTCAGCCTATAGTTATCACTCTCTTTCTCTTCAAAGATTCTTAATGTACGATAATGTTAAGAAGAGTTTCATGAACGTTTTTCTATAACTCTCTGTGAACATAACATGTCTATCCCAAAGCAGAAGTTGCATATCAGCCGCTAATAGAGAAAGAACACTCTCTCATTTACAGTGCCCCTAGAGAACTGTTTTTATTAAAGGTTTGGTTTGGTTTGGTTACGGCAAAGCACTCGAGGACTATCTGTCTAAAGGGAAAGAGACTTTCGAGAACTTTCTAAGGAAAACTGGCTCGTATACACGTTACACATGAGGAAAAATACGAAAACGCGCATCCAGCCAACCCGTTTACGGGATTCGAATCTCGGACATAACTACTAGTTTTCAACGACTATACCACTTTGCAGCTGGTGGGCATTTATTAATCTTAAGATACGAAAATTTTGGCCCTTCGAGGTCCAGTGTGAACCGGGAGCTGTGAAAAAGTGTCTCATAGATATATGGACTGGAGAGTAAAAAAACATTCCGTTAAATCTATATTATTGTGCCCACCAGCGGCTGAGTAATAAAGTAGATAAACACTGGTAGTTCGGGTTCGTGGTTCTAATGCTGGTGAAAGGGCTGGTTGCATTGGCGTTTTTGTGGTTTTCCCCATCTGTATCGTGGATATGAGCCAGGTTCCCTTAAAAGCCCTCCATGGGGCGTCATTTTCTTTGGCCGATACCACTATGTACATGTCAGCCGCCATACCGTGCTGAAAGTACCGGTTCTCGTCCGATCACCACTGTGTGCGTTGCCATATTTTTTTTTCCAATGGCAGATTGTGAACAATTACAAATGTAACCCAGTATATTAATTTATACAAGGCCGGATGGGGTGGTCTCTTTATTATGGAGGCACCTAATAGGTGGGCTACCATCGTCTTTCCTATGAAGGGGACGGACAGTTACAACCATGCCTTCTCCGGGATTCGAACCCAGGCCCTTCGGCATCGCAGTCAGCTTCCCTGACCACTATACCGACTGGGCAGCGTGTTGCCATTATTAAAACAGTGATTTTTTTCAATTGGCTAAAACTTAGCCGACTTGGGCTTGCCCACTACTAAAGTCGGAAGTGATCGCTGCTATATTGTGGAAGCACCTAATAGGCGAGCCACCATTACCTCCTATGAAGGGACAGATAATTACAGCCGGGATTCGGACCCGGGCCCTTCGGTATATCAGTAGCTCTCCTAGCCACTATACCATCTGGGCGGTCATAATAATAAAATAATAAAAAAAAAAACTTTTTATTGAAATACTAATACCTGAATGGTAAATAAGCCACAGTCAGCAATAAGTCAAATGGACAAACTACAAACAACTTTGGTAGGTACAAATAGGATAGTCTGATATTCTGGCACGAAGAATTATGTATTTCTTCAGAGTCAATCTGAGTTTTATAAGCGGCGGAGATGATTTTAATAAACGTCTGTCTTGCTAGCGATTAGTATATATTTCTTTTAGTTCCTGGATATTCGAACGTAATGAGCGGTTGGTTTTAGTAACCAGTGAGTTTAATAAGCGGCGGGTACTGTGTTTATTTAAAAAAACAAACACATTTTAATTTAAATTCAACAAACACATTCTTAATTTCTTATATAAGAATAGAGTTTTAATTATCTAAAGAAAATGAAAATATTTCAATGTAAAATTAAGAAAAAAAAATCCTTAGTTTGTCTCGAATTGTAAATAAATCTCCAAAAAATAACCTGAAAATATTGAAATATTTTTTTTTTTTTTTTTTTTTAAGATTTAATTGGTTAACATTATTATTTTAAGAACAAAAAGACCGTGGCAAAGTATACTTGGGATATCTAGCATAAGAATATGGATGTCTTTGTGGAGGATTTCAAAAAATATTTAATTAATGTTTCACATTACACATGGAGAAAGCTTGTTTCACATTACACGAAAACCTTTTCTCGGGATTTGAGCTGGTGTCGAACAACCGCAGTGTTTAGCAATCCTATCCATTTGCCCGCTGGTTGGTATTTTAACAATAAAAGAAAAGTTTCAAATTAGTTCGTGTGTAGAAGATTTTGAAGACTGCTTAATTTCTGAAAGTTATTTATGAAATATGTGATAACCGAAACAGGTATTATTCAGAAAGGCACAACGAATTTAGTTCAGATAAGGATAGGTAAGAATTATATTATAATAGGTATTTATTTTCGAGAATGTTAGGTTCAAAACAACTTTTTACTTCAATATCTTTCACTTAATTCACTCTGTGTTTAACTTCATGTTTCTCAAGGACTTCTTTTCTTTTCGTGCTTTCTGGATGTTTTATTTTAGTGCAAGAATGTTATCTTTGGTCTAAATCCATGCTTGAAATTTTCCATGTTAGATATTTTGAATTGTTTAGCCTGGGAAATTTTTATCCTTTTAATTTTTTTTATGTGTTTAACAGCAAACGATTTTTTTCCCTCTTTGATGAGAGGAGAAAAACATCATAAACACATAATTCTTCTGTAAATAATCCAAGCTTTAGTTTATCTTTTATATACGCATTTTCATTGAAGTTCGTATATTTTTTAAGACTGATTTGCATTTCTGTCTCTTTGTCGCAAATTTTCATTCTGATCCTGATATCCAAATTATCTACATTGACGTTTTCATGTTTTCCCGTGTGTAATGTGAATGCCAGTTTCCCTTAAAAGTCCTTTATGAAGGCAAATAATCCTCGTGTACTTTCTCTTACTAAAAATCAACCACTTTTATTGCAAATCAATTTCTGCAATGTGCGGTTGATTGACTGAATTTGCAAATTGATTAGTTATCGCAATACACACTATACATATTTCGAGAACCTTTGGGCTAAAAATATTTAAAAACAGGATATCTTCAGAATTTAAGATAGACAGACTCGCGCCCTGGAGATAAAAATGTTTTATTCCTTGTTGCCATTGCTCGCTTTGAAATCGTTGAGTCTGTTAATGAAAAATTTGTTAAACATTTACAAAATATGAAATAGGTAATAAAAGAAATTCCAAATTCGGGGTTCCAGGTGCCCACATTCGTGTGGAGGACTACGTTATTCAAAATTTGTGGCTCTAGCGACCGCTGTGTTTTTACAATGTGAGAAACATACATACATTCATGCAGGTTCTTCATTATTTAATTTCTTTAAATACAATAAAGAGCGATATTATTTGGTGGCAACAATCTGCAAAGTGATTGAACGTTTTTAATGATTCGACGCAAAGTGCCGTTTCGGGACTTATAGCCCTTCTAGGCTAATGTCTAGTTGGGCTAATAAATTTAGGAAAACAAAATTTTCTTTGAAAACTTATATTAAAATCTGTCAATAAACCTCAAGAGTCTTTCATTCAAATTTCTTATTAGCCCAAAGAGGCGTTAGCTTAAATGCCTTCGAAATATGTATATGTGTGTAAATGAAAAAAAAAAAAAAAAAAGCGGTCCTTTGGATGGTGTAATATAGAATCTGAAAGCTTCCTTTTTTTAATATTTTTTTTTTTTTTTTTTTTTTTTTTTACTATTTTAAGTCTTGTTTTCAAACAAAGCAAGTTAAAAAATACTTGAGGTGTCATTGTCTCTTATTGAATTCAGGAAGTTGTTAATATCTTTTGACCCAAATATATTGAGTAACTATCGTCATTCAATATTGCGTATGTGAGAAAAATTGCTGCTGTTGTCTCTTGCCGAATTTTTTTTGGAATTTTCCAGGCGGATAAGAAAATGATAAATCATTATGCTTTCAGTCTTTTTTTTTTTTTTTTTTTTTCTAATACTTCTTTTAATCTTCTCCAGCGAACATCGAGAAAAAAAAGACTTTTAATTTCAGGACTGGTGATTTGTGAGAGTTTCATTTTAAAATTTATAAAGATGTCATGTTGTCTTCATGATTTTCTGCATCTATTTTTGTCCCGAAAGAAAAGTTTGTTAATGTAGTATTAGAGAGTACAATCAGAATCATTTAAGAACCCTTAAAAGAGAATTCCAGTGTTATATTAAGGTAAGCAGTATCCATCCAGGTATGATTCTTAGATATTCCCTTTTTCGAATGTAGATGATATCTTATAATAATATATAAGCATTTGTGCATTTTATTTAGAAATGAGCAAAATTTTATACCTCCGTATTTTAACAAGAAGTAAAGAGATTTAAAAAAATGGTACAAGTATTTTAATGTAAGAAAGTTTATGTACTTTTAATTGTTAAAACAATGTCGACGATCAACAGCCAAATATCTAAAATAGAGAAACAGTCGCGAGTTCGTTCTGGTTTCTACGCAAGTGTTTCATGGATATCCTTAAAGTAAATAAGTAAATGCGGCTCATTTAACTTTAAAAATTCCTTCACGAAACTTTCTTTTCCGATTAGGCTAAGGTTACTGGAATATCGCAAGGGCTATCTGTCTAAGGATAGAAATACCTTCGTACAAGGTTATCTAAGGCAAACTGGCTCAATATTCACGTTACATATGAGGAAGCCGCCCAACTGGTATAGTGGTTAGTGTCGCTGGTTGTCGTGCCGAAGGGTCTAGGTTCGAATCCTGGAGAAGGCATTGATGTTTTTAAATGTATAGTGTCCGAGAGGCATGGGAGCACTCTAAATATGCGGCGAGCCGAAAGTCCTCTCGAGAGGTCGGTGGTAGGGAAAGAGGGGTGGGAGACCCTCGAACCCATCCTCTCGGGGGCTCACAATCAAAATGGGGGCGGAATTGTGCTAAATCGCATTGCCACTTGTTAGGTGCTCAAGGCTGTTGCCAACGACAGGCGTAAACTTGCGCTCATTGCCACGAGGAATTTCACGGGCTTGGGCTGAATACAGGTCAGACAGGTCAGCATTAACATCAACACATGATGAAAACCAACCATTGAGTTAGCCCGTTCGCCTGGTAAGGAACTCGGGTGAAAATTGTTGTACTCAGCCCTCTTAAACACCCGGCCAATGGTGAATTCTATTAAGCATTAATGTCAATGTGTTTCGCCTTAGTAAAAAATCCATCTAGACAAAGTTCTGCTTAACACCTTTATTATAAAAATACATTGTTTTTTCATAACATGTATGGAAATTAATTATTCATATATCCGCACGTTGTTTTGCAATTAGTTAATATAGAGCTTCAGTTTCATTTAAGGTTTACAGTTAAGGAAATATAAAACAGCATTCATTATTGAATGACTGCAAAAGCCGGCTGCTTTAAGAGGCCGGGTACTTTTAAATAATTTTAAAAAAGTGTAAATTCTGTTTACGTTTTTATAATAAAATTCGATTTCTTACAAATATTAAAAAAAAAAAAAAAAAAAAAAAAAAAAAAAAATACTTCTTTTATTCTTTCAAATAATTTGAAAAGCGCGTTAACCGCAAAAAGCGTTATTATCGCTTATAACAAATATGCCAAATTTCAAAACCCACCAGTACATAAATTCACATACGTCTTGGGAAATTTTGAATAAAAAACTCTAATTTTTTTGCAGGTACGCTTAGAAGTGTATCTACTGTAAGGTGATAGTAAAAATTTTATAATTCAAACATTTTTTCGAAAAATTTATAAAAATTACTAAAAATATAAAAATCTTTAAAAAAAAAAAAAAAAAAAAAAAAAATCAGATAATATTTGTGAATTTTAGTCCGACTGAACCTGAATTTCGAATTGTGAAAGAAGGAATCAAGTAAGTATAATAAAAAAGATATTAATAAATATATACCAAATTCAATTAATACTGAGATGCTAAAATTATGAGAACTGATTTTTTATAAATTACTCTTGCGAGTTTTACAAAACTTTGGCATAATTTGATTCCTAGAACCAAAATAAGGAAAAAATCGGCATGTCATTTAAGAAAAAGTTCGAATTTATATGAAAATGCCAATATTTAAGTAAAGGTATACTATATAAATCTAATACGTATCTTAAGTTGTGGTTTCGAGACATTTGAAAAACGCAAGTTAAATTTCTTCAGTCGGCCCAGTAGAACGAAAAATATAGAACTGTACTTTTTTGTACTGAGCGTACATAAGATCTTGTGTCTTTAATGCATCTAATCCCAGGCATATGAATGTAGCTAACATCATAAAAAAAGATGGATTGAGATTCAGAACTACAGTAAACTCCCGATTATCCGCGGAATTGGGTGGCGCGGCCACCGCGGATAACAAAAAATCGCGGATAATCCGAAAAAAGCTGAAAACGGGTATTGCAAAAGAGGAAACAATCATTTCAACTTTGAAAAATCGTTTTATGTACAATAAAACGTAAAATAAACAGCAGGAAATGTTTAACTAACGCTTAATATTTTAGTATATCACTCAAAACTAACCTAAAATGCATTTTGTTAATGAAAACAGAAAGTGCTTTGTACTTACGAGAGGCGTCAAGGATACACAGAAAAATTAATACATATGTACTGTTTTAATACTGTAATGTATTATGTAATTACAAAAGCATAACTGTAAAACTACACCTTTTTGGAGAAATCAGTCATTTGTGTTTCCTTCTTGCTTTGGAAGCATTTTCTCTTGATCCGAGATTGCATTTTTCGTAGCATAAGTTTCTCGGCCAACTCCGCGTCGTCTTGTTCTTCTAAATAGCTCAGCAGTTCGTCGACTTGGACTGCTGAGCCGCTTCGTGAGTCTTCCGCATCTGCACAGTGGGCTCGTCTTAGCCATCACTTCGCTTCATTATCGTCTTTCATTATCGGTCTCTTCCCTTGCTTTCTTCACAATTTCATCATCTGTCAAACATTCGAAGCCAGGTTCGTTGACGTCACTCTCCAATCACTCATTAATGTTTTCAGCATCGACGTTCTCACCACCCGGAACTGTTTTCACCATGGAGGTAGGAAGTAAGAACTTCTTCCTTTCTTACCTCCATGGTTTTCACCATATCGACAAGAGTCGCCGTAGGCGTGTCTACATCTTCATTTACTTCTTCACAACTCAAAAGGGTTAGGTTGTTGTTGGCTTCAACGTTTAGGCATGAGTTTTCTCCATGATTTTATGAGGGTTGACGGTTTCACTGAGTCGCATGCAGATGCAATATCGTGGATGCTGTCGAAGATTGTGTAGTGTTTCCAAAACTCTTTCAGATCATAACCTTCTTCAGTTTCGGTCATTAGCAGCTTGGTTCGGTATGTTCTCTTTATTGTTGCAATGACTCCTTGGTCCATGGGTTGGATTAGCGCAGTAACTTTTGGGGGGAGAAACTTTGCAAAAATTTGTCCATCAGAAGACTTTAGCACTCTTGTGGCTGGGTGAGAAGGTGCGTTGTCGATCAATAGGACAGCTTTTTCAGGAAGGTTTTTCGATTTAAGATGTTTACGCACTTGAAGAACAAAGACGTTTTTCGAACTATTTTTGAAAAATGTTTCAGTTCATCCATCCCTCTTTTTTTTTTTTTTTTTTTTTTTTTTGGGTTAAAGTAATCAACGGGCAAATTTTCTATCCTTGTGCCTTTGAAAGATCTCGGGTTTTTTTTTTACTTTCCAATGACAACAAGTCTAAGTTATGTCCACCGGTAGCGTTGCTGCAAGACATCATAGTGATCCTTTCCTTGCTGCTTTTATGACCCGCCGCTTTACTTTCACTTTCAAATGCTAAAGTGCGATTGGGAAGACATTTCCACAAAAGTCCCGATTCGTTGAAATTGTAAATTTGTTCAAAAGATAGCTCTTCTTTAAAAACAAATTCTTCAAATTCATGGTGGAAATCATCGGCTGCTTGTTGGTCACCACTAAGCTTCTCCCCATGAAGTCCAATTTATCGAATTGCAAGATTAAGACGAGAGTGAGCGGTGGAGCGGACTCTGCAAGGGTGAGTAAGAAATCAATTACTGATCAGAGGGAAAGGTTCCGAGAAGGCCTGGGATATTTTTGCGATAAATAAGCACGATGTTAGCAAATTAAAAAAAAAAAAAAAAAAAAAAAAAAAAAAAAAAACTTTGTGCGGAAGGCGCGGATAATCAGCCCGCGGATAATAATCGGGAGTCTACTGTAGTAATAACCTTTCTAATACTGAATATTTGGAAAATATTTCCTGTTTTCTAAACCTTTTTCCATTACAAGCAGTGTAAATTAAAAAAGAATTTTTTTCCCCTGATTTATTTCGCTACTGAAATAACTAAGTTACAGTATAATATTCTAACTTGCAATTTTGTAAATCTGTTCATACGCGATATGTGAGAATTCTTTTGACGTTTATGCAGCTGTTCTATGTGATTCAAATGGTTTCGTCACATAATCTTTACAGTTAACAGTTGGCCTGATACAGATCTGAACAATCTTTAATATGAAATGCGAATGCCTATGAAAAATGGTGTTCTGCTTTAAGTGCCACGCAGAGTAATTACGAAGTTACTTAAGTACGTTAAATGAATGTGACTTTAATAACAAAAAATTAAATATTTTTGGATTGTAGAAAATACAGGTAAGTGCATAGCGATTTCTTTTATAACAATTTATTTGAAATTTTATTTCTAATTAAGTCTTCAGTTTCTATGTCTAAGATATAATTTTGGTATAGATTTTTCTACATTTTTAATTAAATTATAATGATTATTCTAATAATGCATCGTTTGTGTTTAAAGACTCAACATTATAAAAACTTTTTTCTAACCTAAACTTAAAACGTTTTTCAATTATTTTCGAAGTTTTAAAAAAGTGTTCGTTCACATGGACATTAATTCTAGCATTGTATTCCAGCAACTTACAATAATAATAAAAAAGGAATTAATATATTTCCCAGCGTCCGTTATTGATAGTTACCATATTTGATACTAATGTGAGAAGTCATGTAAACTGAAGTTTATAAACATAACATAAGATATGATAAAATGATTATTTAAAACTGTTAAGTGGTTTTACTTGAAATATTTTCATACAATTCTCTTCTCTAAGGCAACTGTAATATTCTCTAGCGCAGGAGACTAAAAGAAATATGCCATATTCGCTTGGAGAATAGCTTCATGTTTGTTCCTTATACGTTTTCACATTTATAATTTGCTACACTTTTTTTATTCTGCAAGAATAAAATATGTTTCATTTAGAGCGAAAGCCAGATTTATCGTCGTCATTTCTAAGTTTTGATAGAAAAATACCTTAAATAATTTTCTACTATTACCTTCTTTCTATAGATAAGAGAAAGAAAACTCACGAGAAATGTATGGTTGAATTTCGTGTAGACAGGGCAATTAACATGAGTGAAAGTTAAAGTAATACTTTTATAATAAAATGAATTTTGAAATTAATGTGTTAGTCACATAAAGCATAACGAAGTCGTACTTTTATATTAAATTAACTGTTAAAATATCCACGTGGTTTTTCTGCTGTATTAATGCCGAGGAAACGGGAGACTTCTCAGACTATGTTACATTTGGAAAATGCAGGCAAGCATATTCATTCGCGCAGTAACGGACGTAACAAGGTCATATAATAAGCTTTTCAGCAGACTGAATTTTTTCTAATAATAAGGACGAATAGTAGCGAAAATGCTTAGCAAGTTTGCATCGATAGTCAGAAGAGTCGTCTCTATAGTCGCAGACGCGATTCCGGTTAACAAAAAAAAATTAGGAATATTCAGGAAGATATATATATATATCAAACGAATGACATTGTTAGACTAAAAAATACCAGAAAACTATATTTTTCTAAGCATGAAAATACGAAAGCATTCATCTACGCTAGATAGAATCTTTCGGAAGCACAATTAGAATTCTTTTTCGCTAAAGATATTTGAAGTGGTGCCAGAAGGAGTCTTTTGGGGCTGGAATAGGATGCGGACAGCAAATACAGAGTATTCTAAATGATATTGCTCAATATTCTGTCATGTGTTACTGCTGAATATTCTGGTATGTGTTACTGCTGAATATCCTATTGCTTGGACTTACCTCAGTTCTTTGACTCTAAGATCAGATGAGTTCATGAATTTTATCATGGCAAGGAACTCAGTAACGCGTTTGTCTTTCGCATGAGTCTTAAGCATCTTGTATGACTTTGCCTAATTCCTTCCCAAGTGTTCGAGAGAATTCCCTGGGGGAACGGTTCCAAGGAACCCCCGACCCTCTTTCCTACCACTAATTTTTCGAGAGGACTTTCGTCTCGCCGTGTATTTTAGGTTTTGTCATGGCACAAGACAAATAATAACAATACACTTACAGACATCCAAGACTACTTCACGATTCGACTCTGAGCCTAACGAAAAGGCAGCCGGCAACATTAACCACTTTACCGTTTAGGGCAGCGCCTGAATATTCTTCTTAGATACATTCAAGAACAATAACATATTCTCTTAAAACTTTGATCGTCATATGCTGGTCCGAAAAAGACCTGGAAAAAGGTATTTTCCATCACATGACGTGCAACACGTATGCTGGATATTATTGCTACATAAAGTATTAATTATCACTGTTTTAGCCTCCTGGGTGCGGTGTACCCTATAATAGAAATATAAAGTTAGAAACTTATGTCGTCAAACTTACTGATATTTCTGAAGCAAATAGGAAATGTGATTTTCAGCAGAATAATGCCCTTTCACATCAGAGTAGCTGCTCTTAACGTGATCTTCGGGCAGGGAGCCAAATTCGCTCTTCAGCACGCTCTGCGTCTTTCATATTTGCTTCCGCGTTCATTGACCAGCAGTAACCCTTCCCGAATTGTAAACTGAATTCCTATTGCTGGTGAAATATTCTACTACACCACAGGCGACATTCAGCATTAGAAAGATTCTTTACATTTCACTATTTTAGAACTGTACTTTGTCAATTACACGAGTGTTTCCAAACTTCGTTTATGACTTCACTCTCTTTGTCTTCAGGTTCCTAACCTGATAAAATAACTGTCACTTATTAATTTCCAAACTTACAACTATTAAACTCCTTCTACTTGAATGTTTCGATTTGACAAACGATGAATTACCATCTTTCATAATTTAAAAAATTCCTACTTTTTTGGTATTTCAACATTTGCATAGAATGGGATAGTAAAATCATGAAACGACTTTTCTGTGACTTGTTGAATTAGGGTTCTGATATTTGAAAATGGTGACTACAAGATTGTTTCTTTAAATGGTATGCATTTCCAGTTGCAGATTATCTAAAAATAAGGTAAACAGAAGTGAAGCGAAAATTCTAATTAATAAAATATTTATTGCGCTGGTAATAGATTAAATAAAACATTTTCTGTAGCTTAATGTGAAGATTAGTTTTCCGTTCGTATTGCCCAATTTACAATTTCGCAGTTTCAACCAGATTTAGGAAGGCACTGCAAAACAAACACTGCTCGCTTTTGGTGATTAAAGGTTCCGTGTTGGGCAAAACATTATCGTTATTAGATTTGTTATTGGCCCTATGAAACTATAATTTGAATCTTGTACATAAAGGTTTGGAGAGTTTTATACGCTGCTGACAATTAAAATTGCCCCAACTTGAAGGCGGCATGCAGGAAAAGTTAATACTACATGCTAAGATATGAAAATGGTGTATTAAAATGGGAAAACTGCACAACGTGTTTCTCATTTGGAAATCATATTTGAATGTTGGTGATTTGTAAAGGTCATGTTATGCCTCATTTAAAGAGAAACGCCTACCAACACGTGTCGGAGCTCACCGTGTTGTGGTAAGATGATAAACTGCAGCCGCTTTAGTCCACGATCCTGTGCGGATAGTGAGCTAGCGGGGCTGCAGTTTATCCTCTTACCACATTGCTGCCCTTGTTGGTCGGGGTCCTACGACTCTCAGGCGAGTATGGAATGAGTTCAGATGGGCAATACTGAATTTCATGCAGGATCTCAGGTCCCAGACACTAACACCCGAGAGGACATTCATGTTGTCCTCTCTGCCTTACGGGATCATACAGCTACATCACATACCCTGAGTCAGGAACTTGGCTTACGTGCAGGAGGACAAGTGACGTACAGGTTAAAGCAAGGCCAGTACTTGTGAATTTTTCGATGGAGAATGTTGACCCTGGGTTCGTCCAAGGGTCTCCCACTCTTCTTTCCCTACCACCAGCTACTCGAGAGGATTTTTGATTCGACGTGTATTTTGAGTGCTCTCTTGTTGTATAGACGATATACACCTCCAAACATCCATGCCTTCTTCGGGATTCAAAGTCGGGTCTGTGGCAGTCAGCGTCACTAATTACCGTATCTTCTGGACGGATGTCCGCAAGGACAGCGACAACGTCTGTGGCACCATGGGCTATCAACATGGAGAACATAACTGCGACTTTGACTTGACGTTGCAGCAGACAGACGCGTCTACAGTGATCCAATGAACGACAGCACTGGACACAAGAGCGGCACCACGTCGCCAGTCGAATCCTAATTTTGCGTACAGCATCATAACAACAGTGTATGGAGACACTGAAAAGAATGAACGTTGCTAGCTAGCATTCGTCCTCATTATGCGTACTCAGCATCAGCCGTATTGTGGAGTACCTTTGGGTACATATCCTGGTCTCCTTTTGTTCGCAAAATCTGTAATTTGTACAGCCATAGTTACATATCTGACGTCTTAAGGCGCATAATTGTGCCCTATTTTAGAGACCTGGATGATACCATCTTTTAACAACATAATGCACGAGCGCATGTTGCCCATGCTCTACCGATCTTCCTCAGCACATAGGGCTTACGACTGATGCCCTGGCCAGCACGTTCTCCAAATCTCTGGACCACTGAAAACATCTGGTCATAGGTTGCTGTGGGATTGGCACATTACGACTATGATTAATGAACTTTGGTACAGAACTGAAGCCGCATGGGTTGAAGTACCCGTATCTGTCACCCAAATTCAGTTCTCGGTGTCCAGTCATATTACAGATTAATTCTTCACCTTGTGAACTCTAAACGCTTTTCAAATGCAATCATGTTTTCCTCCCACTATGCTGCATAAGTATAATAAATAAATTCTGAAATTTGCTTTTCTTCCTAGTGCAGTAATTTTAATAACTAGCGGTGCAGTTAGCTTATTTTAAGCATAAGAATGTTTTATTAGTTGAGAGTTTTGCTGCAGAAGACCATACGAAAAGGGAATTCTTGTAGTTGCACATCCTTTCCATTTGCACAGATAAAAGTGCTTTCATAAAGTTCTATACCTAATTTCGAAAAAAATTCATTACTGAAAGTGCCACATGGCTAAAATCAATATTTTAGGAAACAAAGCCTGCGTAAACTGTTCCACATTTTTCGAATATCTTGTACATATGCCATAAAGAAATTTCCTGAAGCTGATATATATATAAACTGCATTGAAATGTTGACAAACAGTTAACAACTTAACAACCGAAACAAATAGGAGTAGTAAACGCTGCTCGCCAAAGCCTGTTACAGACGTTAGGCTCAAGCACCACCCTTTAAGTTATTTCGAAAGATAAGGACGAGTTCTGAATTTTCTCGAACCTTAATCCGTATTCTAAGAAGTTCTTTAACTC